GCATCCTCGATCGTTTTCGAGCATCCTCGATTGTTTTCGAGCGTCCTCGAAATCTATCGAGAGTCCTCGATCGTTTTCGAGCGTCCTCGAAATCTATCGGGCGTCCTCGAAATCTATCGAGCGTCCTCGAAATCAATCGAGCGTCCTCGATTGTTTTCGAGCGTCCTCGAAATCTATCGAGACTTCTCGATCGTTTTCGATCGTCCTCGATCGTTTTCGAGCGTCCTCGATTGTTTTCGAGCGTCCTCGAAATCTATCGAGCATCCTCGATCGTTTTCGAGCATCCTCGATTGTTTTCGAGCGTCCTCGAAATCTATCGAGAGTCCTCGATCGTTTTCGAGCGTCCTCGAAATCTATCGGGCGTCCTCGAAATCTATCGAGCGTCCTCGATTGTTTTCGAGCGTCCTCGATTGTTTTCGAGTGTCCTCTAAATCTATCGAGAGGTCTCGATCGTTTTCGAGCGTCCTCGAAATCTATCGGGCGTCCTCAAAATCTATCGAGCGTCCTCGAAATCTATCGAGCGTCCTCGAAATCTATCAGGCATCCTCGAAATCTATCGAGCGTCCTTGAAATCTATCGAGAGTCCTCGATCGTTTTCGAGCGTCCTCGAAATCTATCGGGCGTCCTCGAAATCTATCGAGCGTCCTCGAAATCAATCGAGCGTCCTCGATTGTTTTCGAGCGTCCTCGAAATCTATCGAGAGTTCTCGATCGTTTTCGATCGTCCTCGATCGTTTTCGAGCGTCCTCGATTGTTTTCGAGCGTCCTCGAAATCAATCGAGCGTCCTCGATTGTTTTCGAGCGTCCTCGAAATCTATCGAGCATGCTCGATCGTTTTCGAGCATCCTCGATTGTTTTCGAGCGTCCTCGAAATCTATCGAGAGTCCTCGATCGTTTTCGAGCGTCCTCGAAATCTATCGGGCGTCCTCGAAATCTATCGAGCGTCCTCGAAATCTATCGAGAGTCCTCGATCGTTTTCGAGCGTCCTCGAAATCTATCGAGAGTCCTCGATCGTTTTCGAGCGTCCTCGAAATAAAGTGAGCGTCCTTGATCTCAATCTGGAAAATAATTTGGTGCAAGGGGGCCTCCACTCCTTTGTTGCCCCGAGGCCTCTGGACCTCTAAATCCGGCCCTGTGTGCGTCATTAGGATAATTTGGATAATTTAACCCGGCGGGAGTGTGGTGGGGTGTAGCATACCCCAGCATTAGTTTACCTAGGTATATTTTTTTAACTGGTAATGACTAGATTTCGTGGCTTCGTGTAGCTGGAGGTAAAAGGTTGTGAGAGGGGATAGTGGCGTGATTTTAGTGTTACGCCGGCTGGTGATTGCAGTATACGTGCGTAAACGTCCGTGGGGTAAGTCACACCCCGCCACATAGTTTGCGTATTGTTTTTATATTTATGTATATTTTAAATTTTTATTGTTTTTGAACAAAAATGACCTTGGAGGTAGATGAAAGACTTATAAGAAGCTTTATTGATGAAGTTTTAGTCGAATCTTCAGATGAATCAGGTTCTACCGAAGAAATTGATCATTGCAGTGAGCATAAGCTTGAATCGGACACGCAAGTAGTGTGTTATGACTTTGAAGCGATCAGCAGCGAGTGGGATTCAGATGACAATATTCTCCTTGCTGCAAAAAGAACTTGTCTGTCTCCACTGAGACTGATCCAAAAATGATATTTTCTACATCTCCACAAAAGCAGTAGCAGACGTCGAGGACGAGCTGAGCGCTACTTATAACAGTAAGCGTTGGTGATCTTTTATGGAATTTTGCACATGGCTGCTATCAATGCTAATATAATTTATCAGAATAATCTAGATAAATAACAGAATTCCTCCATGGTTTGGGATTGAGTTTGTTGAACAGAACATCTGCAGTTGCGACAAACACAGAAAAATATTTCAATTAACATTTGCCAAAGAATTGCACAGAACCATTGCGCCCAGCAGTGGAAAACAGTTCAGGACGATATACTCGATGTGCGGATTGTCCTCGGAAAAAAAAATCGGAAGACAAAACATGTCTGTGCAAGCTGCAGAAAATCACTCAATCAATTAAATATGCAATATTTTCTTGCAAAAATTGTGCTGACGGCGAGGCCTCTTACTAAGGCCTCTTAAGATATTCCATTTGATTCTATAAGTGCTTTTTAATTTTAATTGAAAGAAAATATCATTTTTTGTTAATTTAGAAGTTTTTATTTTGTTTTAATTATTTTGGTTGATTTTATGAATATTTTAATAGCGCAAGTAAATTTGTGTCACCAAAAAGTTCTCAAATAGTTCAACTACTAAGAAAGTAATAAAAGTATTAAAAATATGTATTTATTTGTTTATTTTTTCATTATAGGGATTCTTATTCATAATACTTAGTAATAATTTTGTACTATTTTGGAGGAATACTTAGATAGAATACGTTTTGTTCCGTGGGGTATGTTACACCCCACCACACACTCTATGTAATTTTTCCGCACCACACTCCCGCCGGGTTAAGATATTAAAACTTTCTTCACAATGTAATAAATATATAGACGAATAAAACCAATAATCGTTTTTTTATGTTCTTTATTCACTACCCACAAATTACAAGTATTGACTGAAAGGTTACAATTACAATGTTGCTTTACATTAACTTTACATCAACAATCATTCTAATTAGGTGCCTGATGAATCCTGACCAACTATTGCGGGTATCCGCAGCTACGTATGTAGCTACATATTAATGGTATGTAGGTAGTATATTATGTATTAAGATAATCATTATATGTCACTTTCAATTCAGACTTCTGTATTTCCATACTTCGACTAATGTATCAAACTTTACCAATTTACTTACGATAATATTTTTATTAGATTTCGATCAAAATCTTCGCTATCAGTAGGTATAACATTTTCGTAAAAATCATTTCGAATTATTATTTAAACGTTGTATAATTTCCAAAATATCAACTTCTCATATATTACCGTATAAGTCCGACAGTCCAAATCCTCTTTAAAGCTTTCACTTTCCGTTGGAGAAATAATTAGAAAGTCCAGCAACAAAGATTTTATGTTTGGAAACATCTTAATGATAACTACTACTATATTGTTCGTAAAGTACGCGTCCAATAATATCAGATGGTTTATTACATTATGAAGTAACTACGTGGTGAAGTACTATGAAGTATACGTAAGGGTATTCAGAGGATCTCTTATCCAATCACAAGCTTTTTAAACAAAATCTTTGTCAGGTGTTACAAAATTAAATGTACTGTAGATGCAGTAAAACGAAATTTAGGGAGCGCCCTAGGCAATAGGTGTCCCTAAGATTTTTTGGCGCCACCGTCATTTTAGGGGCAGTTGGGCACGCGTGTCACGCGGAGGTTTCTCTGCAGTCTGGCGCCCTAGACAACTGCCTACTTTGCCTTAGAGATAGTACGGCTCCGTCTACGGCAGTATAAGAATTTCCATTAGGTACTAACTGTATACAAAGTAGGGCATAGTTATTTGTTTAGCCAACAGTTCATGAAATGAGTGACTGTAAAAGTGTATCCTTTCGTAACTTTTTGCGGATGTAGTTACATTTCTATGTCAATATTACAAAATTTGGGCTCATCTTAAGCCCTAAACTTAAACGAATTCCATCTTAATTAAAAAACAAAAAATCACAAACATTTAGTTTCAAAATTGATACATGTAGGTAATTGAAAATAATTGACGAACAATTTTCGTTTTTTGCTTCAGTGCGTGCCAGAAACAGTTAAGAACTACCATTTATATTAATCAAGTTACAAACGACCGCTTTTAAGAAAATGGTAAGTTATACAAAATAACAAAAAGAAAACATAAACTATAATTATTAAGGACTTGCCTAATTACGAACAAGTCGTTCGGTAAAGAGTTTTTAGATTCGATTAGACAGGTACAGACAACAGTAATTGGCACTTTCTATTGAAAACTTACTTTTCACTATTAGAAATATTTTACTTTTATATGACGAGATTACAATATATGGCCACGTGGCTAATTAGGCCTTGTCGCAATACAATATTTGTAAAACGTTGAGAGTTCAAACTACATTTTGTTTCTCATTATCTAAAAATCTACTGCAAACTTGTTAGCTTTGGCCCACGATTTCACGTCTACGCTAACTTCATGTCGTGACGTACTGTAATTACAGCCTATGATCTCTATAATTAGGCAAGCAGATGTGAAAACATTTAAACATCCGACCTGTAGTTGTATTACCGCATGACAAACAAACAAACCTGTTTACATATAAGCATATATTATGTAGATTGATGAGATCTATGCACTTGTATGATGACCAAAATTGTATATATTGGTGTGCACACAAGTAGAGCGAAGCTCCGAGTAAAATTACGTACCTACAGTGATAAAGTCAAAGTCCTAGTGTCAAATGCAATATTAAAGTCAACAATTTTCGGTACTGACTGGCTCTACCCACTAGTCTAGCTAGAGTATTAACTTTATGAATATAATCGAAGTGTTATGAAGAAACGAACGAAGCTTTGATATAACGTCTATAGCTATTGCTCCGTCTGACGTATTGTGACAGGCAGATACATGGCAACGTTAACGAAAAAAGTATTTTTTTCTATTTAGGCACCATTAGACCTCTCTTGAACATTCTACAGATTTAAAATGATTGATCAATCAGTGTTTAATTTTTTATCTACACAAAGTTATTCATCTTATCTTCACTTTAATTAAGAGGTTCAATGGTGCACAAATAAACGATAACATAATAGAAAATCATGAGCCCCTCAGGGTTTTATAAAAAGGTAATAAAAATCAAAAAGTCAACTACAAAATGCTGAAATATAAATCTAAACAAATCACTTAAACTGTAACATATATTTTGAAGCCAACAATTAAAAATACTCAGTCTTACGATACGTCAAAATAAGATATTTCTAAGTTATGTGTTACACGAAAAACAGGGACTATGTCAATTTTTGTTACACTTTCAAACTTTGTCTTTAATTAACGAAGTTGTTGTGACAAAATGGTTGACGTGACTAGTTTATTTAAGTTTAACATTTATAATTTTTGTTTAACTTTGGCAATATAGATTACTAATTAAGGTGTCTTAACGAAATATTTTGCTTGCTACAATTCTGTAGGCGTGTTCGGGTATAGCGCAAGCGGTTAATCAAATCAAAATTTGCGCTTACACTTACATAGCTTAGAATAATCTTAAACAAGTTATTTAGTCGAAACTGTTCGACTTAATTACAAGCTACATGTATTCGTACACTACTAACGATATAGCTACCACTACTCATAACATGGATATATAAGAACAATAAACTTAAGTATATTAAAGTGTCCATTTTGGAACACCTGTTTAAAACTAACCAGTTATATCCTGGGCTAATCAACGTTGATGAATACAGGGTTATTCATAACTTTATACTTTTTTAAACATTGAGACTCATCAACAATATAGTACGTGCCGTATTATTATTGAATCAATGCTAGTTGTAAAATAACCCTATAATTAGAGAAACCACTGAGCTGATAATGAAAAACGCCTTATTCATAAACTAAATGCCAATGCTATTTTTTAATTTGCTTAACATCTAGATACTTATTACGCTTAACAGTGACTACAAGGACCCGTAATTTTGAAATCTTGACATCAAAGGTTAATGACACTAAATCCATAACAACTACAGCCCTACCACTATAGCTAAAATATGTCATAACATCTACCATTAATATAAACTAAATCGACATAATATTCTATCCGAGATCTTTACAATTCAACTTTGAAATAAAGGTACAAGAAGTACTTACGTCTCAGAAAATCGTTTCAAATATGTCTGAGACAAATTATTAAAACAGTTGCTGTAGGGTTCTGAGAGTGGCTTCTTGGCCACAGAGCACTACATTCAACAGCTGCTTTCAACAGAATCAACAGGACATTGAACAAAACCTCAATTTTGATCGATCTAACACGTTAATAGATTAATCACAAAACATTAGTGAGTTTTGTATTTAAAAACTTATTCATAATTTGACAAATCGACATCTGGTGGCTTTTGCTCCTCTTCTTCAGTGTGTTCCTCAATTTCGCCCAGAATATCTTCGACCTCAGAGGAACTCTGAAATGTTACAAAACTTACATTAGTCTCAGTTATAAACTTATAACAGAATATTATAGCAAATTGATATGTATTTAGTATAAAACATATTATTATTTTACTTGGATTTAACTACAGGGCAAAGGAGAAGTAACTATAACTGTGACGTATGTCAACATAGTGATAGCGCAACGTACGGTTACAACTTACCAATAAATCAAGAAACGATGGATCAAACTCGTCCAAAGAATTCAATGCCGATTCAATTTGGTCACTGTCCAAAACTGAAAAAGACAAAATTAAATTAGTACAGTCTATTGTGGATATAACACTGTTTTAAGTGCCCATAGAACATTCAATGTCAACATAATTACTCACATGATTCATCAAATAACGATTCAAGTGGGGATCCTGAGTTTGAACTTTGTTCATTTGTTCGGAATACTTCGGTTTCTGTCACCTTCTTTTTGTAAGCAACCTCGCAATCGTCAAACTCATTACGTCGCTTATTTCCACAGGAGTAGGTACTTGTGCTCGGTTCTGGGTACAGATATGGTTCAAACAAGTCTGCTGGCACTGAATATTGGGACGGCATGTAGTGCGTCGGTTCTGGTATCTCATATGGGATTTCCTCCACAGTAGCAGGAAGAGGTTGCTCATAGAAAATGTCATCAGCATTTTCATTCTGATCGAAATTACCCAAAAATAGTGTAAAGTCAGAGAATGGACTTGGTGACGAGTCAAAATAACCCAAATCAGGAGACGCCACTGTGTTTAGAATCGATGGTGGATTGTATTCTTGTTGTGGTATGTCAGGGGTTGGTGGAGGGTATCTGAAGATATTTTCAGGAACGTGCACGTAGTTGGACACGTGACAGCTTTGGAATGGAGCCACCGGTGCTAGCTGTGAAGGTGCTACATTCTTTTCTATTTGGTTTGTATTGTTGTACTTGGGAGTGCTGTGGCTTGACCCGGCGTAGCTACTTCCCTCTTCATGGTTTGAATCTCTGGGGACCGCTTTAATAACATTGTAGATTTTTTCAATCGCGCTAACTATTCGCTCCTTATTTGGAGGAATTATTGTAAGATGATGTGGCGATTTACTTTTCTGTGGTGAAGAATTTGGTTCATGATTAGATTCTGATGGCGCAGGCGATGGTAAATTGGTGACCAAATGTAGAATAACTTGCTCGAGGCGTCGCGGGTCTTCAACCGGAACCGCCTCGTCATCATTCTGCTGGAGAATCAAAAGGAATATTTTAATTTTAAAATTAATCGTATGGAATGCAACTAACTCTTCCGAATCCTGACTAAATCAACAAGTTAACAAAAGTATACAAGACATTTACCTCATTTTCTTCAGGAGCATCTTCAATTTCATCCACTCTAGGGGATTCATTGTTGTTTACCAATAGCCTGAATTTCCTTTTCATGAGTTTAATTAATTGTTTGCCTTCTTCCTCGTCGACAACAGTGTTGGTACACACGAAACTCGTGACAGCACGCGAGTCCCTGTCGACGTCCAGAGAGCCGCGTGTCCTCATGTAGATGGACTGACCATTTTTGGTAATGAGTCGGTAGCATGATTCGCCAAATAGCCTGTGCTGGTCATACACTGCCAAACAAAAATTCTCAAATTAGATGCTAATCGATTTTTGTTTTAAACGCTAGGGATACGAAAGATGGTTGTTAAAAGTCGCTAAATGCTTCAGGCCTAGCAAAATATCACACAATTATTATTATAGTCCTGCACGTAACCATCGTATTTCAGTAATATTTTCTGCGTATTATGAAGGACTGAAGGTATATAATTTAAACAAATAGATGATGTGGCCATCTAAGTATAGAACAAATTTTGAACATCTATTCATTTGCCTTTGAGAACACGTCTAAGTATACCTCTTGATATCAACTCAAACTGATAAAGTAATCAGCATTGAATAAAATGTATTAGATATAAGACTGTCGTTATGCGGTGTAATGGAAAAATAGAAAGTGGTTAATTCAATTAATAATAATTTATAGAATGGCGATAGACATGTCAAATGAACAGGCAGTAAACAAGTGGCACTAGATGATAATACAGCTTGTCTGATTGCGTACATATTTACTAACAAGGCGTTAAGTGACATTTTCATATTCTATTTGTTAGAAAATGCACCTACGTTAAAAAGGAAAATATTCGAAATATTTTATTTTATACTGAAACAAACGCATTCCTTAGTAAATAGAACTATGTGTCACATAGTCAAAAACGGATTCGCAAAGCACATAAAACATTTGAATGTAAACAATATCTATGCAGTAATATTTCAGGAATATGTTCGCCTGTAAATCGACGAGCAAGTCATCTTTACTTAGCATGTTTTTTAACAATTTTTATGAACATTTATATTTCACGTTGGTATATTTTTTCTATTATTTTTTTCTAATAATTCTATTTCAGTACTAATCAAATGTCACGAAGATATAAAAATATGATTTTTTACTAATTTCTAGTACACAACCAACACCGAAGTGTTTCCATAATTTTCCATTCTATCACGGAAGGCAAGAATGTAGGTACATTTAGTACTTTATACATATTGCAGTATCATTATGTGGAGTTGATAACGTCGACTTAGATCGGTCACCTGTTGTTAGTTTATGTGAACTGTTGCCATCTTATAACCTAGCCTCGGAGGTCGAGTCAAACTCATTTACATTCGCACGGAAAAAGAACCTGTGCATAATTAAACCAACTATCTTAACTATTGTTCCTTTCTATTACAATATTTATAAAACAAATTTTATCAAATTTTTAACCCACGCAACCTTTTTTGTCTGTATTTAGTTTTGTATACATTTAATTGCACAAGCAGATAACCTTCCTACGTTTTGAAAGTTATCTTTATTAGGTCATTTACTTGCAGTTTTAGTGTAAACTATAGTAATTTCCTGCATTATATAAGTATCTGCCACGTGTCTGTTGTTGCTGCGGAGGTTTATTGAGAATTGATGTTATCATAATTGTTGAAATGTTACTTAGGAAGCGAGGCTCGTCAGTTGGCTAAGGACACAATTATTGTTCTCAAGGCACTTACTCTCTCGAAGAGCGATGATGACCCAGCGTACGTCGTCGCGGTGCATGAAATTCATTGCGTTCACGCCGCTGACTTCGTGTGTCATGTAGCCGGTGACGAGAGCAATGCGAGAGTCGCACTGTATAATCTCGCCGTCGATCGAGTGCCTGGTGCGATACTCCATTCGGTACGATTCGAGGGCACTCTCGTTGATGAACGTTTCGCTCGTAGGTCGCACAATACCTATGAACACCTGAAACAGATTTCAATTTCATTAATTACCTATTGTATAGCAAGTAAACACTTAAACGCGTTTGGGTATTGCAGTCTACTTAACTGTAAAGACTAGGTTTTATGCTATTCAAAAAGCAGGAGTCTCATAATCTAACTAAAACTATCTGTAATACGCGAGGACATTAACCCTTATGTGAGTGACAAATAAAACACCTTTATTAGAGTGACGAGGTACCCGGGTACCTTCATACAGTTTACACGTAATGTAAACAACAAAGGTCTGTTTTAACGTTACCCACACTTTAAATATTATCATTTTAGTTAAGCTAAACAGTTGACGATCTGAGGCGATTAAAGCGGGGGAGGAGTGGAGTGCGGTATATGGTTATCAGCGCACAAGAAACACTTGAATCCATTCAATGCATCGTGCTTGATATTACACTTCACAGTTTACTGTGTTCGCATTGTACGAGTTTACTTCTATTTTGTGAATTTATAAATATTTCATTATGAATATTGGAGCCAGTACTTCTAGACAAAGATCACGTGTTCGAAGATATAATTCAACAGAAATACAAGCGATATTAGCTGAATCTTCCAGTGACGAAGGTGAGTTTGTTGCTTCTGATAATGAGCACGATTATATTCCTTTGGTTGAAGAGGGTGGATTGGAAATTTCGGATGTTGAGCCAGAAGCTGAAGTCGAAAGTGAGATCGACTCTTATGATTCATTTCAAATTTGAATAAAATGTACAAGCCTCGTGAATGTATTACAGTTGACGAACAGCTATATGGATATCGTGGGCGTACTCGCTTTACTCAATACATGCCATCAAAGCCTGAAAAGTATGGTATAAAAATATTCTGGGATTGTGATGCAAATAATTCCTACCCCCTAAATGGACAAATATACACAGGAAAGTCAAGTGATGGCAATCGTCAAACAAATGTTGGAGAATGCACAGTATTAGATCTCGTGGCTAAATATAAAAATTCAGGACTGAATGTAACTACAGATAATTTTTTACGTCTCTTCAACTGGATCATTCCTTGAATTCGTGGAACATGACACTAGTTGGAACGGTAAGAAAAAATAAACGTTTTATTCCTTCAAATATGCAAGCACACAAGGAGAGAGTGATCTATTCTTCTAACTTCGCCTTTAGCAAAGAAGCAACTTTGTGCTCCTATGTACCTAAAAAGAATAAAGCAGTAAAAATGTTGTCATCAATGCACATGTCACCAGTTATTGAAAGTGATAAGGAAACTGCCAAGCCAGAAATAATTTTATATTATAATAAAACCAAAAGTGGAGTAGACAATATGGATAAACTGTTAGCAGAATACACCGTAAAACGCAGAACGAATCGGTGGCCTTTAGCACTTTTTTACAATATCATTGACATTGCAGCTTTGGCAGCATATATCATTTACATGGAACATAACCCACAATTTGTCTCGAGTGACAGGCGCAGAAAGTTTTTGAAATCATTGAGTCTACAACTGTGTGTCAAAAATATAGAAGAAAGATCAAAAAATTCCATTGTGACATCAAAATTACATGTGAGATCTGCAATGCACGACGTGCTTGGCCAAGAGCTAAGGCTTTCGATTCCTTCTAGATCTACAACTTCTATAAGTCAGACTAGACGAGATTCTACAGGGCGTGTTGCAGTCGTCGGAAGTTGCTACATATGCAGAGAACTTAAACGCAAGCAAAGAAAAACACGAAAAGCTTGCACTAACTGTAAAAAACCAGTTTGTGATGAACATGCAGTAACTCGTCCAACATGTAATACCTGCTTTGAGAGCTGTACTAATTCTGCATAAACAAATAATTTGTATTTTTTATAGAAATAAAACATTATAATAAACGATTCTTATTTCATTTTTGCACGAAATTAGAAATACTTTTTTTCATTTTCATACAAAACACAAAGAGGTACCCGGGTACCTTGTCACTCTATTGTAAGTTTAAAATATGTTTTAGTTTCCACAAAATGTTGTAAATAGTTGACTGGGTCAAAACATCAAAAAATATATAATTTATAAATAGTTAAGAGCTTTCAAGAAATCACAGCTACCTACAGAGCGTAAAACATACTTTTCGTTAAATTTGAAAATGCCAAAGGTACCCGGGTACCTCGTCACTCACATAAGGGTTAATCGTATGCACTCATTTACGCTTGACTCGACTAACTCGGTATTAGTGTTTCTCAACATTTGATCACAATAACTTTGTAACGTAGGCTATATTTATACTTATCATAAATCTGTAGAGAGGCCAATTCTGTACATGAAATATATTTCCAAAATATCTATCACTTAGTTCCAGATTAGCGATCGATGCCAAAAATGCAATCAGTAAAATTTTTATCTGTCTATATAACCGTTATAGAATCAAAAACTACTCGACGAATTTTAACGATACTTGGTACAATTATTAGGTAATTATACTCCTGAGTTGGTTATAGTATGCTTTTCATCACGCTACAATCGGTAGGAGCAGAGTGGTGAAAGTCAAGAAAAAATTCAATCATAATTTTATTTATTATGAAAGGTTGAACATTGCTGTCGTACCTGTGACCATAATATTTGTACCCTACATTTGCGAAGGTACGTATGTGTCTGTCTCGCTTGCACACGTAGGAGAACCTAATTGCGACTATACTCTTCATTGACCTGATTACAATATAATATCTAAATACCTATAATCTTATTTACTAATAATCTTCTTCATTTTTATCCAAAAATTGTGTATTTTACATGTTTCATTGTAATATGAATTGTATTCTGATCATTTATTTTAAGTTTTTATAACTACCCCATCTTTTAGATATTATATCTGCGCTGGTGCGCACTGGTGGGTACTTGCTCAGGTCTTATTGGTATTTGTATTCATTGTTTATTGTATGTTTGGACTGCTCAATTATTACTCATTTTGATGTTTTTATAGTGATGATAGGCTGTTTTTTATGATTTTCAAGACTCGCATATGACTCTGAATGGTAACAAAAACCTAATAACATCAACTAATGATATGCTGTCACTGCACTGACCTGGACCGTCTGACTGATTATTGTCAGTCCAAAATGTTAGATTTAAACCTCGCTAAATACTCTGTCGTTACCTTTATTAGGAAACGTGTTACATTTCATACTACCTATAGTTAAAAGGTTATCTAGAAGCCTTGGAGTGCGGGATCTAGGCGTTCAGCATGCCATATTGAGCAAAAGGTGGGGAAAGCCTCTAAAGCACTGGGTTTTGTACAGAGGCTCAAGGGCTGTCTCAGGAACGCCAAAACACTTAAGATCTCATACTGCACATTTGTCAGAAGCCATCTTGAATACCCTTCCCAAATCTGGAACCCCTACTATGACAGGTATATAGACCACATGGAAAGCATCCAAAAAAGATTTGTTCGCTTTGTTTTCGTCTAACTGTATCGATCGGAAAACTACACAGAATTATGCAAAAGATTTCACCTGCATCCGCTTATAATTTGCCGTCGATTAGCGGATTGCGCTTATTTTGTCAAAACCCTGAACAACGAGATCGATTGCTCAGACCTTCTGCATAAGCTGTCGTATAAAGTTCACATCCAATGTGACTGATTTTCAAAAAGCCGAAAGTCCCAGTACCTATGTGTATGTATCGCGTCTTGTCAAATATACTAGACCATGTTTAGTCCATTTAAAATTTTATTTCAATAAATAAGATTTTTCTAATAACAACTAACCCCTTCTGCACCGACTGACTGAACAGAGCAGCAATATCTGTTCAAAAACTCATTCTTGTTCACACAAGTATCCAATAAGAAGTAAGTAATGTAGGAACACGTGAAGAATTTTCTAGAACATCTCTAGTAATGAAAACAATATAAAACTTGTTTTCTGTTTGTTTATTCTCTTTCATCTAAAGCTTTTTACTCTCGGCGCAATATTGCCACGTGTGGCTGCGCAGCAAGAAGACTGCTAAGGAAAACGTAAAGGCTCAAAACCCGGGACTGTTCATTATATTATTAACGTTATTCATAACACGCCTAAAAAGTGAACATGACTGACAAATATTTAGTAAGCGTACAGGATACAAAAATATAGAATCTTTTGACGTAGCTTCGCTATCTACATCACAATTTTTTCGTGAAAGCGTCTAAATCTTATATTTATATATATAAAAGAAAGTCGTGTTAGTTACACCACTTATAACTCAAGAACGGCAGAATAGATTTGGCTGAAAATTGGTAGCGAGGTAGCTTAGAGCCAGGAGACCGACATAGGATACTTTTTAATAACTTTTTTTTCTTTACTTTTTACCGAAAATCACGAACGGGGACGGGAAAAAATTGGATTACGCGTCCGAAGTCGCGGGCAGAAGCTAGTATATATATAAAAGAAAGTCGTGTTAGTTACACCATTTATAACTCAAGAACGGCAGAATAGATTTGGCTGAAAATTGGTAGGGAGGTAGCCTAGAGCCAGGAGACCGACATACTTTTTGATCAAAATTTTTTTTTTTACTTTTTACCTAAAATCGCGAACGGGGAAGAGAAAAATTGGGATTACGCGTCCGAAGTCGCGGGCAGAAGCTCATTTTTATAAAAACCAAATAAAATCAAGTTAGGTAGTTAGGCTGAAGACATTTTACCTAACGTAGTGTTTACGTTGAACTTAGGCAACTGGGTAAGTTAGTCGAAGTTGTTGTCACTTGGAAATTTCCATTGAACTTTGTTAGTTGCGCTCCTGCACAATATAACGAGACGTATCGATTTTTAAAACAACTACTTCCAGTTTTGTAAAGTGAAATGGGTTTTAAATTGTAATTTTTTTAAAGGACAAGGTTTGTTAAGGACTTGACTTAAATTTTTAACTTGGAAAGCTTTGTTAGATTTGAGAGAGAATTTACATAAGTGCTTTAATACTTATGCTTACAATCAACACATCCATGAATGTCTCTTATTATAATTCAATAGGAAAATTATTGTAACAAACGACTAAATATTTAAGTTTAATTAAGCTATCTATATTTTTAGTCATATTTCTCTTAGCTATCATAAGTTCGGAGTCGCGGAGAACCCAACGGATTACCGGGGCTCCGGCTCGACGTGCAGGAGAAGGAACGGGGTGGTTTTTAGTCAGTAAGAGTCTGACACTCCCTCCCGCCTCACCCAGTCGGGAGCAGCCATTCAATGATTTTCTCCCCTTAAAAAAAGCTATCATAACTGAGACTATGTATGTAGTATGACTATGTACCTACATAAAATTTATGAGAAATATTAATACAAAAGCACCTTTAACCTGCGCTTTACTTGGGTTGTATATAACTAAATACATTAATTATTTATGGCTGGGGATCAAATCAATAAAATCTATAGAAAACCTTTAAACATTTGTACGTATCGTAAATAGGTACGTATCTAGTGTTTTTATGTTGCTTGTATATTAATATAGTGACGTGACAATTACGTGTGGGTCTATAGTCACTGACAAATGTCAGTCATCGTTAATGTAAGAAGACCTCGCGGGAAATAACGATTAACGAACCTCACAAGAAGTACATAATTACCGAAACAATAACATTTAATGGAAAAAACTACATCGATAGACATACACATCACAACTACAAAATAGAAAAAATAACACAGGTGTGTGTGGAATAAGTTGGATTTGTATTCAACACTTTCCCTAAATTACGAAAATCTTAAAATAAAACATTCTACTATTTTTCAATAGAATCTTTTGGAATTTTCCACCCAAATTTTTCCTGGTTAGTAACAACATAACATTCACGTACTTATTACTCCGCGTAGGTACTTATTATATTGGGTAGGTACTAGGTAACAAAAAAATAAAGGCTGCTGTTGCTACAGGGCGAGTAAAAATTAAACGTAAGTTCACGTGTATCGTGCACGCTAGTATAATGTACCATTGCACGGGGCTGCTAAATTAAAATTCTAGTACCAATTTTGTTTCAAGTTTTGAATAATTGCATTTCCCTTCAAATGTCAGGCTCGTTGTTTGAATGTCTGAATATTTTAGTGTTTGGGGATCATAGGAACCATAGTAACGACAGTTATGGTAAGTTGTTCTCTAATAGCTCTATTGCATTTAACAGACTAATGACCCAGACTTTCATGTTTCGTTTGATATTGTATTCAAAGTTTGTCAAAGTTTGCTATGACCTATCATGGCTTTCTAGGTAGGCATGTGTTTTTTTCCTTCAAGAAGTTATTTTGAATTTAATGTGATTGTAATAGCTACTAATGATTACTGAGAAAATCGCACGATACTTACTCAAATGTCTGACTCAAAGTAATAGAAGAATAATCTCAAGCTAATTTAAAGTTTAATAGGCTGTTGTAAAAGCGATACTAGGTTAACACCTAGTATGAACTTACAGTATTAATACCTAGTACCAACTTAATACCTAGTATTAATTTACAGGAAGATAATTCTTCCTGTAAATGCAACTCAGCGGTAGCAGTTGCGACCCCTCATCTCACGAGACTACTTTTCAAAAAGGTTCCATAAAAAATCCTTAAGTCGCTATTCTTAATTTAAGCAGGAAATGAGTTGATAAATAGAACATTATTAGTTTTAAAAATGTTGCAACAAGTGAATCAGTTATATTGTTCGTAGCATTGTAAGAAAACAAAGCGCTATTTCTATCTATTACAAATTGTTGCCAACGTGGGCGGGGGCGGGCACATTCGATTTACTTCGAAGCTCGGCACCCCCGACCTGTTGCGTCACTTGAAGCATGGCTTGTAAGCCAGGAACCGCGTCCGTAACTGGCTTCTTAGAACAAATACATCGGAACACGTGGAAAAGTATCTCGTTGACTCCGATCTACAGTGATCAACTTACACCCTGTAGCAAGTTGAATCGGAATTCGAGTTGAAACAATCCAATGCCTAGGTCTTCTAGCGACTAGTCACTTTAACAAGTTTCGACGTTTACATTTCTGTTCCATTTCAAAAGTTAATTACACATCAGAGTTAGCTCAAAATTCCTACACGTGGCACCATTGAATTTTTTCGTCGACGAAACTGAAAATTAAAATTCGAATTGCATCCCTGTGGCGCAATTCAAATGAAAATGTCAAAACTTGTGCAGCTTATGCATCGCCACTGCAACTGAATCTGAAAACTGTCCTCGATACATAAACATCACGGGGCATCACGAAATTTAACTTGGAAAACCTAAATTAAGAATCATTTATTCGCTTCAGTTTATATTAGTAAATCGATATTGGTCTGTAAGATCATCTTTAAAAGATGGTAGTCACATTTACAGATGGAATACATTTATAAAATAAATTCGAAGTTAAGATATGGGGTAGTTACATAAATATAAGTAACGGTACTTTGTTGCCTAGTTAAGTACATACATGTTAATTTGGTCCTGTATTGTAAATTTAAATTACGAAACTCTTCAATTGGAATATGTATTGAAATGGATCGTGTTTGTTGACGACGTTGACGCAGTTGTAGCATAAATAATTTGAGACTTTTGTTTTTCAAATGCACTAGACACAAATTGAACATGAGTTCATCTAATCTGGATTTCATATTCAATTTTAAAAAGCTTAATCCTCAATAACCAAAAGTAATTCACTACTGGACTACTCTATGTTGCAGATTACAATTTAGCCAGTTATGATACAAGCAATTAAAATAATAACCAAAAATTTCTGTAGATTACAAAGTTCGTAGGACAAACTAAAAGAAAAAATCGCACAGGTAAAAACTTAATTAACATTTTTGCGCAAGACAATTTCAGCAAATTAAAAAAAACGAAAAATGAAGGGAGAACATTCTAGAATTGAACAGGTTAAAGGTTATTTGCGTATGCAAAGAAGTGAAGTGAAGTGAGTAGTGATCATAATGAAAACTTGAATGGTAAACTGCTCGTTTTCGCTTAATATAAACGACTTGTACTCATCCAACCTTTTTTCAATGCGTATGTATAAAGTACCGTTATACTGCAAGTATTAAAGGTAAACTATACATAATTCATGTTATAAGGACGTGCTTTAGAATAGATGTTAATTTTTGACTACATTAGGTCTTCGGTTCGGTTCATCATTGGGGTCAGTGAGATGCAGTCCATTACATATTGGTACTGAATCAGTTTCCACTTCATCACGTTTAAAAAGGGTAAACGAATGATAAAATTTTGGTATTGCGAACAAAATATTTCATGTAGTTTTTCAGTCATTATCTTACCATGAACTTAATACTTTTTAATCGAAAAGAAATTAATATTGATATGAAACTTTGGTCAAAAAGATTAATAAAAATTTTAATTATCTGAACTATACAACATCAGTAATGTAGTGCAGTATTGCATTACTATCTTAACCCTATCAACAAATTCGATGCACCTAAAGCTTTGAGGCAAACATAAGTTCCAAACAAAAAATATCGACAGATTTTTGTAAGACTATAGATACATAAATGTGAATGTGATGAGTACTAAAGGATTGGAGCAGTTGGCGCTCTATTATTTTATTCATTTTGAAGTACGAGTTTATTAAGCAAGAAGGTACTTACGATATCATTGCCGCTGGAGCACGGGTTGTCAGACCTGGCCCTTGCTCGCCGCACGACCTGGCAACAACGGTTGTAGGTGCGGCAGGCACGGTCTGACTTCCTCAGGGATCCCTCCACGTGGCATGTTATGTACTGGTTGGGCTCAGACCGCTGGCCCAACTTCTTAAGCCTGTTGATGTAAAGAGTCACATGAAAAAAGTAGCGCAGCATATAAAACACAACAACATATTCGCAAAAGGACGTTAAAAACAGTATTTAAAATGTTCTGTTGGACGCCAGCAGCCAGCAAAGGAATTCATCGCAAAGCTAAAGAATTTCTGCAATGAGGTATGGGCTATGTGATGATGTTGATGGAAATGACGAAAGTAATCATTATTTTTATTTACGGTTAATCTAAAAATGACATAGGTGGTTTAAATATCAAAAGTCTTTACCCAGTTTTGAAGTTAGTCTTCTGTTTTCTGATTTTATTTACACAAGTTGCTTTCATATTTAAGATAAGTATTATTTTAGTAAACATTTTAGAGGACTGCTCTTGGTGGACGCGGAATTCGGAATGATGGAGTATTGGAAGTCTCCCTATTTCGGTCACGCGGACCCTTGTTACCATGTAATTTAAATATAAGGCTTCACGGAAGTAAGGAAGTTGGGGATACAACAAAACATCAGAAAATAGATGAAAACTTGGAAATAAAATGTTGCTACAGTTTGGTGGTATAACAGTACGACGATGAAAATAAATACACTTCCAGAAAAGACCAATGAAGTAAAGTAACAATAAATGCCAGCCCCATTCTTAGCCGCTGATATGTATTTGGCAGCCTTTTAGGTATAGCTCCACAAAGGTACGATCAGTTGTATCGGTACTTTCAGCCAAAACCACAATATGTCCGGGTGAATATAGCTTAAGTTACTATGTTTGCATCTGTGGATGTATGAGACGAAATACACCCACAGGTGCTAATGTCGAAAATGATAATGGTGATGAATGCGGCGAAGAAGTGGGTTACTTATTTATGATTTAATTATAATATTAGTATTGTATATGACTTCGCTTATTATTCGCTAGCTAAATATTGTTGGCAGCGTTAGCAACTTGTTTATTGTTCTAAAAATCGCTCGGGACGCTTAATATCAATTTTCTATTTGTTGCTCTATTTGTTCACTCGCATTTGCCGACCAGCTGGTAATAACTCAGTTAGTACAACATTACCATTATCCCCTGAATGGTGGAGTTCGACTCCTAGGTGAACTAGGAGTGCTATCAGCTATCGTACACCCAATACGTGGCTTGATTGTTGGCGTTTAGTAACGATGACACCTGGCACATTATGCAAAAAGAATAAAAGCTGGCATTAGGGAGTGCACCGACGCGTCACAGGTCCAGGCCCTATCTACACCGAATGTTTGTCAGTTTACTATAAGGTCCCGCGTCCGTTGCCTACACCCTGTAGTAAAGAATAAAGATACTTGCATAAAGACCACTCACCTAATTGTAAATTTCCGTTTCTCGTTTGCCAAAGCCCTTTTGACTTTTTTTATGGCATCAGGTTCGTCTGGTATCAAGAGTTCTCCATTCGGACCCAGTTTCTGGGACCTTGGCATAAGCTGGTCGCGAAGCAAGGCCCGGTCTGCTTCATGGGTTATTGTATGGAGATTTTGACCGAGTAAGTCGATCTGTTGGAATTAAATTTGGCGAATAAGCAAAACGTTGCGTGATGCGATTACACATATTCTAATAAGGCGCAGTGAAGCATTTCTTTTACAAATCGATCACTCTTATCAAGATAAAATGCATCTAAACATCGCCACAGTTGACAAAACCGAACCCTGTTACGTTTGTAGAAATGTAAAAATAGATTTTGAAACAAAAAAACACCAGCATGAAGGAGGCGGAGGTAATTGACGATGATATTAATATTAATATTATAATTGCAAATTCGCTGGTGCGATTAAATCCAATTAGCAACAGCAAATAAAATATGCGTAGCTATTTAAGAGCATTACGTTTAAATATTAGTCAAATTAAATCCAAAAAAGTTAAGTAGTGTAATTCATTGAGTTCATGTTTCAGCTCTTTCAGCTATTTATTTTAATGCACATGTATGCAATTCCAACTTATTGATAGCAGTAGCATTATTAAATCATGATGCATGATATTACTATCCATAAAAATGTTATTGAGTCATAAATCATGGAATAAAATTGCAAATTCAATCGCTTAATAATCTGTGCGTATCAGTTTATCATTACCATTTATGACTACAACTAGGTAATTACTATCTTACAAACGTTTTCCTTATTTACTTTAGTGAGTGCAATTGTAGGTGAATAAACTGTCGAAGGTTTTCTTGAAGAAAATAAATAATAATATGTTGCATTACTTATTTGTATGCTCTAATACTATTTTACTATTCAATGGAATATTTCGGAAATATGTTGCAAGATAACAATCACTAATTTATGCTGTGAATAATAAATACTTATACAATTAGCCGTTAAAGTATATAGAACTAGAAATACCACAACCTTACAGAGTTTTGGCATTAATTGAAACTAAAATAAACATCATTTAGCAATAATAAGACAAATAATTCCCATCAATAATAATTATGATATTTTAAAAAAGATAAGGGTCTCTTTAATTAGTTATACCAAATAATAAACATGATTAATTTAAGTTGTGTGTGTCACACTTGTGTTCTGTATCTACTGGCCCAAGCACTTTTCTTTTGAATTAGAGACATTGTTGTTTTACTACCTCTACCTCTACATGCGCACACAAAATAATATTTAAAATCTTCTTACCTCATTATATCCCAGATATTGGTTGACATTTTGTGAAACGACCACAATGATGCCCCTATACGTCGTAGTTATCAGGAATCCATTAAACATGCTCAAAACTTTTTGAATCGAAGCCGCGCTGAAGTCTCGTGGGCACTTCCCAATCGAGTCACCAAATACTGCGGAAAAAAGAACTTATTTAGGAACGATTATAGAGAATAAGTGGTTAATAGGTAACTCGAAAATTTCTAATGTTATTAACTACTCTCATTTAAGCACAGAGAGATTAGGTATTACCCTATCTATCTTCGTATATCATCAATAGCGCTGATAATATCGATGGCGAAAAGTGAGGGAATTTCCACAACGAGTGGCTTACAACCACAAACTCTTATTTACTTCAATTTTTTGCCAAAATATAACGTATTTTAGAATTTTCAAAAGTATAATTGTCTTAGGAGTCAAACGTTCAAATTTGGGCAGAAATTGAATAAATAATAGGTCCCTATTTGTAGATTACAATCTTCTCGAAGCTATTACTGCATACTCTTATCCATTTTTTGATTGAGTACCTATGAGTAGGTAAGTATAATGATACTTCCCCCTTGGATTATAATCCCATTGGATTAAACTGTCAAACACCAAACGGTCACCGGTGACCGCAACCTATTGCTTTTTAATTGTGTCTATAAATACGGTACTCGACGAGTTAAACCTTTGGTTGTTGACAAAAACCCATTAAAATTAGATGAAAGTTTTGCCTAGATATTTGCACAAAAGAAATTAAGTAGTCCCTCCACAAAAATTAAGCAACATATTAGGTCACAGTATCAATTCCATTTCCATTTTTGACCGTCTCTTTATAGATCTAAATACAGTATTTGATGTACTCCATGTTGGATAAGGTTATGGCTACATTACGCCACCGCGCTATGACTTGTTCACGATGTCTACGGTGACATTGAAACTAAAATAACTGAATTCGCAATGCAGTGTGTTGACGCCCTAAGCAGAGGAGCATGGCGCCGCACGTGCGCTGGCGCACTCACGTTACTATACACGACCGGATTTTATATTGATAGACAAATATGTTACATTGCAATAACTAATTGTACTAAATCCTACATAATTACTATGTTAATGTTTAATGCCATTCAATTTAATTCATTCTTACTTGCCTATTTTTCTACACTCATCTAATCAAAGTAGGTACTATTCGCGAAAGATAACACTAGGTGGTAACACTGCATAATTAATTTACACAAACAACGACATTATCTAATTTGACAGCAAAATATGACGTACGAAAACAACATGTATGTATGTATCGTGAATGTATAATTAGAGCATAAAAATTAATGTAATTATGTAGATAAGATCATACGTGAATATGTTATGATGTAAAGCGCGGTTAATGAAATGCATGTTACATTTACCGAGCAAACTAATAGTGACACGAATGTTTGAGCCGCTAACTATGAATAGATTTGCACTTTGCACTAGTTTATTGGCTACGTCCAGTTACCGACGGATCCTCATCGAATAGGCATCGGCTGTCTTACAATGTAACATCAGTCCCTAAACAACCACATAACCGTCTCTCAATCGAGATCAATCGCATACAATTTTATTAGAACTGCAAATATCCGTTGAAGTGTCACATTGTATGAAACGACGATGCAACATTGTTGCCTAATAATATTGCACTTTCACGATGGAAAATCAATATAATACAATATATCTAGAAGGTGTTGCTCATGTTTAAACATTAGTTTCATCAATATTAAGTCCTACCTTGAACCCATTAAGTGGGAGGAAGCTTCCTTACTATGTTGTTAAATTACTACATCTTTATCTTTAAACGTGGTTTAGCCTACCCCACATCATCCTTATATATGAAATTAATATTCTAATTTCGTGAGTCATTGTGTTTATACATTGCAAGTAGGTACCTATTTACTAAGGTACTCGTTCCACGCACACCGTGTGTACTTACAAGTTGTTACTTTACAAGTAATGGACTATTTTATGACTTTTATAGGTTTTGTTCTTAATGGGTACACTTAGGTTAGTATCACAACAATTAATATGATGAAACATCTGTATAATATTGTAGAATAATAACATGGAATGTTCTAGGCTTATGTATGAACATCGGATTGCTTAATATGAATGCTTTGATTTTGTAGTTTAGTACCTACTTACCAACATAGCCTACGATCGAACTATCGTATTATATGTCTTACTAATTTCATTAACACTACAGAACACTTAGTAAGGTGAATATTTATTTAATGAATGTCTTTCTATTAATTCTCTGCTGTCTCCTTATTTTATCAAAGATATAGTCTTGTATGTGGAAAATGACATGCCATTAATAACAAGATACAAAATGTGCGCACCTGCATCGTCTGTCGGCTATCCTGCTAAATCTAATTGTATCTTGTTACACTCACAATAGTAGTTCAGTCTAAGACAATTCAATTTAGTCGTGTATGCCCATCGTAATTGGTATGGGTGGAGCTTGCATTCCAACACATAACAATTACTGAATGGAATGTGGTGAAACTAGAAAATATTTGCAAATTAAAGCGTAGAACTAGATCATTCACTGCGTCACTCAAACCCATAAGGTGATCAGGTTATACGAGTCTGGGAGCTGATGACATACTGACAATGGGGATCTCATTGCATATCCAATACACGGTTACATAACATATATGATAGCATCAAAGTGATTTTCAAGAAACAGAAAGACTGATAAAATGGCAGTAGGGACATTTTATTGTATCCTATTAATCTGGACTTATCGTAGCCTTTATTTTAGTTCGGCAAAATCTAGGGTAGGTAAGCATGTACAAAATACGGCGTAACTTTACGTCACCTAACATTTTACGAGCGGTCAAGCAAAGTAATTAACTACTTAAAAAAGTAGTTTCTGTAGTTTAAGATTCAAACGAACCTAAATAGAAATAAAGACGAAAATCCAATGATAGCTCTGAGACAGTTTAAAGCTTAGCTATACTTGAATACATATATCTATAATTAACACTACGCTTTGTCATAACCAGTGATATTATTGTTTTTTTATACCACGTGTACTAGTAATATCACGGCTTAGGTTTTCGAAAGGATATTAGGTACTACATTATATACCTACCTAGTTTATCACCTTTCCACCAGTTAAGTATAATACCTATGTCATAGGAATTGAGCTGTCTTGAAATCCCTAATTAATCATTATACTTTGCCCAAGAAATCGAAACCTTAACCTTGACCTTGTCGCATGTATGCTAAACATACCCGAGACAGGCATTTGATATTAATATCACTGACAAAATATTTCTTTGCTAACATCTCTTTCCGCCCAATTACTGAGTTAAAAGTAAGAAGAGCAGTATAGAGTAAGAAGCAAGTTAAGTATTAAGAGCCCTGCATCACTAGGACATCATGGCAACGCGAAATTAAAATTGACTGTTACTTAGCAGTATGTCGTGGGCCATGGTTACTCGCTTTGGCGTCATGCTCTGATGCCAGAAGTAACCAGACCTGGGCTGCTCCCATTGCGTGCTAATAAGGTAGGGTTCTTAAGGGATTATGCATCGATAGCGTATTCACTTAGAAGGACCAGTAACCATAGGTAAATTATAATCTCCATATTAAGTCCATGGGCGGCTTCGATTGCTTACCATCAGGCAATCCGTTTGCTTTGCCGCCTTATGCCATGAAACTGCCACTGTAAATAGTTACTTACCGTATTGATGAGCTCGCAGATAATGTGCTGTGAGACGCAATACAGTTGTCTTGTCCAATTTACGCCTAGCTGCCACTACTGGTGGCACCATAGACGCGAGATCGGCAACAGACTGGTTCAGTCTATCCCGTCTCATCTTCTCCGCACGGTTGCGGATCTCCCTCGGATTCTCTCTGCAACACAAAACATATCACATTATCACAAACATTCCATTAACATACCCAATGTTAAAATTTTATGTCCTAAGACCAAAAAACCGAAACCAAAATATCATAATTCGTTGTCAGCGTTAATGCGCATGTTAAGAGATACATTTGCCTCTTTGTAAACTGTCGTCAACTCAATATTGTTTATTGACCACTTCATTACTCCCGAAATATTATTATTTGTTTTTGTTACCCAGGTGCCTAGTTACCACGTCTTACCAAAACATTTATTTCCCGCGTAAAAGAAAAGTTGACAGGTTTTTCGCAGACATTTTATAGATAGCTATTATTTGTATATTGGGAACATGAACTAGCATCTAAGAATAGCCTAATTGAAAGTTTACAATTCATGACTTTTGTATAATCAAACATCCTGTTAGTCGAACGAATTACATTGTGTTAATGTTCGTCAACATAATTATGCACATACTTACATGCGAATATATCCTGATTTACGCCTCGTTTATACATACAATTCTAGGCTTTTCGAATTAAAAAAATAGTATTTAGGTACACTTTTGAATACGCTAGTTTGGATTTCGCGGCACTTACAGCTAGAATCGAATTTAAATAACAATTTATTTAACACAGGTCCAAAATTATTAACGTGAAAAATTAACTCATTAGAATAGTATTAATATGATCTTAAAATTATTACAAAATAGAAAGGAAATAGTCTTTTTATTGTTTTCTCGATGCTGTGAAAAGGCGACTCTGGTAATACCACAACACACTTCATTCAGCCTATTTGTCTATGGTCAATATTTTTGCAACGCATTCCAGATTCATTGTATGAAACACTCAATACATTCGATATTAAGTCAGCTAATATTATTTGTTCTTAATTTGCGAGACGCAGGCGACTGCGATGTGGCTTGCTTTATCCAATCCTGTGGGGCGCAGTACAATAGCGCCATCGCTCTGAAGCGTCAGCGCCCATAAAGCACAGATTTTCCTTTGTTAGAAATGAAAAAAAAAGTCATTCGATTTTTAAATGTTCAATTTTTCACGACTTCAATTTTTTTAAATCTTTTAATTACATTTTTAATGTTTCATTATACAGATAAAAAATAAAACTGTAAAATATATTTTACGATATCAGATGCTATCTTTTCATTGTTATTTTATAGTTTCTCAAGGACATTAATGTCACTAGTAATCATTTATAATTATATTTATTTTTTATACGTGTATTTTTTACCATCGGTAGATAAAATTGAATATCGCAGGTAAATTTCTTAAAGTAAATAATTTGTCCAAACCACAGATATTTGTTTGAGCTACACTAAAATAATTCTAATGCGTATAAATATGCGCACAAAACGAATGCCGAAATTTTAATATTGTACTGTAATTAAAAAGATTCCTATGTAAGTCGGTAACGCATTCATGATATTATATCTTTTTTTGCAAATGTATTAAGGTTACGGTAACCATCAGTAGTATAAAAAAAATCGAATGAAATTATACGTAAATATAATGTATTTTTCACAACTTATATAAAAGTTAAATGAGGCTGGGGTAATATGAAATGCATGAATTATTATATTAAGATAGAACTTGTTCAATGTCTAGGGAAAATCACAAGCGTTATACATACTGACTGCTTTATTTATATGAAGCAGTGATAACGTACTACATACTTAGTACCTACATAATTATGTCTATTGTTGTGAGATATCAATTTTAAACTTTCTCCATAGTAAATAGAGTGCATTTTCCTACTGAATTAGAAAACTTTCCGTCTAGAGGCCCGATTATAATAATGTTATACATGTTTATGTTTCGCACCTAAACAACAGTATCTAGTACTTTCATATCCCTTACCAATTTAAGTACTGTAATTAATAGAATTGCACGCAAGTTAACACAAACTTTCGTTACTGTTTTTTTGCTGTCATCACTATTTCAATGCCTCAATACCTCAATACCTTCAATGCATCCCTCTACTGTAAAAACTTCACGTAGGCGTCAACTTTGTTTTTTATTAAGTTGTGAGAAAAACCACTCGCCTATCTTCACATAAAACATTATGCCATCTATAACTTTGATATTAAACATTATAAATTGTAGGTACTATATATTTGTGGTTGGTAATATTATATTCGGCGCTCCACTATAGTGCGTGTCTTGGCCGCACCGTGGTGTCGCAACGTTGCGCGTCGTCATGCCGATACCGCAATGAGTCCGTACAGTCCTTACATCTGCCTCTAAACCTAAATAAGTTCTCAGTTTTGAGTAATTAAGGCAGTCCGAAAAGTACTAATAATAAAGGCAGTCAAAGATACTTAACGCCTAAGTTAAAAAAATCGAAGTAACCGCTCCTGCTACACCAACTAACTAACCTACAAGTGTTCAATCGAAATAATAGCTGTTTTAGCTAAAAGCCGCGGGTTACTTGCGTGAAAAAACTGAGAAAAGCTCTACTAGATTCGAACTATAGAGGCGGGTTCTTCCTCATGAGCAGCGTGCGCGGCCGCGGCGACGTCGCGCAGCCTACTCCAGTAGGCTACTACAGCACGGTTTTTAGTTAATTTAGTATGTCTCACGATAGTTATCAGAATTAATACAATATAACCAACCCATCTCGTTAAAACGCACAATCAACGATTAGGTCCATTTAACCTGGTTCTAGTTAGTGTTGAGCCGAGGAATAAGTTACCACTTCAATTCCTCCGATAATAGTGTATAATTCGCATTCTCATTCCCAATTTTCCCAGTTGCCAGTAAAAGTTTGCCCGTAGCTATATAGTTACATAGTTAAGCACCCATTGAACTTTTACTGCAATGCTAGAAAGTAGCCTATGTTTACAGACTGTGTTAACTGTGTAATGTAGTGAGTGCTAAACTGATAGATTTATATGATTAAGCAATATCCTAACTTTAATGTGAGCACTTAAAGTTTAAACTCACTCGCTCATTTTTTTCAATGTCATACAATAATTGACGTCTGATGTGAACAGACGTGTCATTAAATTTATTTGAATGAACGCAACAGTGACTTACTAAATTATATTTTCTCATTTTGAAATTTGGTATTATATAAGGGAAACATAATAATCGAACTAATCATAGTTGAAGAAGACGGTTAGAAGTCCAAGTAATCTGGCTTCCTGTGCCTCATCAATAGAGAACAGTAAATCTGGCTTCTCTATTCGAATTCAAGGCCCCATATTCAAAACTGGATGGCAAGTACTGGGCAGCAGTTGAATGAAGTTTGTTGTTACAGAGGGCAAACTCAATTCGGAGTAAAAACTTAAAATATCTATACTGAGCCGTAAAATTGGAGCTAATGTGGAAACAGATGTCCTCTACCAGGCTCTGAAGTAACATGCCCATAAACATTATGAACGAATTGAGGGAAAAGCAAAATCTATGTTAGAGACAAGTGTTTGAAATCAAACCATTTCTCAAGAACTCAACTACAATGAAGCGTCAATCTCTCTGATATGGTGAAGAAAGCTAAAGGTTTCATGCGGCCTATCACCTTGTGCTCTGTTGCTATATATCCTATGAATAAATTGAAGACTAGTAATGAAACCAAATCTCTAATGCAAAAAATCATGCATTCTGAAGAATTAAAGCTACACGTACGTGGAGTCCGTACTCAAAACGGAGGCGTTATAATTAGTACGAAAACCAAACAAGATGCCGTGTAAGTTAAGGATGCAGTAGATATATCGTTATCTGGACTCATCGCTGATAAACCCAAAAAAAGCCAATCCCGATTCACGATTATAGGATTGTTACAAGTTCCCAGATGTGTCAATGGAGTCCTTTGTAACGGCTGTTAAAATAAGCCACAAATCCTGTAGGTTCATCGTAGAGGTTCCAGTAAAGATACGTAAAGTGGACTTCTTACCCTGTCAGAGATTTTACGCTCGTCACCAGATACTATAAATGTCAGCTGTATGCTCACGCGGCAACACCGTGCCGAGAGCTTTCCTCATCGAGTGGCCACAGTGGAGAATTGGGACATTTAACATATTTGTTCTCGATTTAACAAACCCAGCCAGCATAAAACGGGAGACGCTAAATATCCCGCCAAGAAGATAGCAGAATATAGCTGTATATCAAGTCAATCGACTATGATGGCGCGCATAGAGTGCGTCATACTCTAGACAAGATTTCCGAGTTGAATAGCCTTTGCCCTGCATAATAATTAGACAAGTTAAGTCAACTTGCACTTCGCTTTAATGCTGTCGTAGCACATTTTGTATATTTGTGATAAATAAATGGCCGAATGAATTGTAACCACATTATGTTTTCTGCTGATGTAAGAATTCGACCAATAACATGTTTTGTTTTAAATAAATGTTAATTTAGTTATTTTATGTATTAGGTATACCTACTACGTACTGTATTACGGAAGACAATTTACCACAATCTCCACTCATGGTAACAAGGTTGGAGATCGCAGTTCAAGGGGTTAAGGTTTATCACCTTCGAGACACGCTTACTCAGAATATTACTGCAGGTGATAAATATAGGCATCCTACTCAGCACAGAATTGATTAAATTCCCTAAGCCCAGATATGAACGATTATTACATTCCGAATAGTGTATGACTGTGTAGATCTAAGCATCAAATTCCATCAAACTTAATCCAAATAGCGATGTGGGTCGTGCCTTAGAAATGGTTTACACGGACCTTGCTAGTTGATTGGTATTTGTTGTTATTGTTTATTTGATTAAATGTAAGATGCTGGTTACAATGTCAGGGCTTTTACTACTATAATGCAATACTGAAACTCCCTTTCCTAATCCTAACTTAAAAAGTAGGTTTCTTTCTTTTAAGCTTGTATTGTTTGATTCGAATTATGGATATATTTTAGATTTTTCTTGAACTCGGGAGCTACACTTGTGCTTAGTATGTGCTAACAATCACCTTGAAGGCTAATAACAATTGTAATATATATATATCTGCATCGATCAACATATATTTAATAAGTAGCAAATCTCCGAAG